ACTTTGAGACTAATAATGGCTGGAGACGGCTTGAATGGGGAATGAAGAAAAACTTTAATATAAGTTTAACATAACAGCAAATGTACAAGGTTTCGACAAGGTTTTGTCATCATCAGGTACAAGTAATTTACACTGATCCATTTTAATTGAACAAAACAACCCTACTCTAAACCAACACCCCGGGGTGCCAAGATACTCTTCTAAGTTTTGCAACAGTTCCGGTCATGTGACTTCTTTGTTCAATACTGTATATATATATATATCCGTGTCAGTGTAAATTACTTGTACCTGATTATGACAAAACCTTGTCGAAACCTTGTACATTTGCTGTTATGTTAAACTTATATTAAAGTTTTTCTTCATTACCCATTCAAGCCGTCTCCAGCCATTATTAGTCTCAAAGTGGGTTCCTCGTCATCGAATATAATAATGTATAATAATTGAAATGTACTGTATTTTACAAAATACTAGTTGACTAAAACACAGCCAAGACAAGTTACTTTGTACAGACCAAAAGTCACCTTTGTGTTATTTGATACGGTAACATGAGTGTGCATAAGCTGCATCGTTGTAACTTCTGTATTATTAGCCAGTCACAGGTGAAAGGTCAATATGATAAAAATAATAAATATATATAAATGTATAATCTTATTAGATTAAATCTATTTCATCTAATTATTTATGTTTTTGTTTTATAATTTGTGTTCATTCTAGAATGAAAGATGCATAATTTATGTTTATATCCTAATTTTTTATAGTGGTTGCGAGATCGGTCAAACTTACCAAACCCGTACAGAGATTAGTTACTGAAAATAACAGAGAAAATATAAAGTTTTTTCTTAAGAAATATTTGATAACTATTTGGACATCATAAAGATTTTGCTTGTGAAATTTCTAAATTTTCTGATGCATAAAAGTATTTTTAATGTTAAGATGAAAATTACTTTGCATGATAGATAGGCAAGATGTGAAAAGAAAAAAAGCCATGAGAGAAACATTGCTTAACAAACTTTAAAATTTAATAAAAACATTAGATATTTTGCATATAAAAGCCAAATTTTATTAACATTTGCTTACTAATTTAAAAGTTATAGCATGAAAACTATAAAAAGCACAAAATGGTTGTGAGGTCGGTCCCATGGACCAAACCCGGGTTGAAAGAGTTAAATTGTATGATTATGTTATTTTAGACCAGCTCTTAAGCCTTTCAGTACCAGAAAGGTGTCACTGATACCTCTGGATTTTTTTATTCACATAGTGAAAATACTTAAACAAATTGCTTGGAACTTAGTATAAGCTTACTAAATTGCATCTAGTTTTGGCTTTAAAAATATTTATTGGCCAACTAGCTTTAAAAATGGCCTTACTGATACCATTGTCAGGCTAGGTTTTGCGACTTTTGCTAACAGTATACTTGGTTGATATCAATAAAGAATAATTTACTTTATTTGTATTTGTGTTTCACTATGATAAACATAACAATAATATTCAGTAAATAAGGATTTGAGTCATCAGAATATTTTTGCCATTGCTTACTGTACTCTATAAACCTGATGTCCTGCTATAAAAGAAAATGTCTTTAGCTTTCAAACAGATATATTTTAACACAAGTTTTCAGAAATGAAAAGAATATCTGAAGAAACCATAAAAAATTCACATTTCTGTGTTTTATTCCTAAGTTTTCTACTTCCCATTAGATTGTTTTATTGAATTTGTGGAAGCAGTGAGTAGCCAGTATCTTGAGAAACCACAAATTACTGCTGGAACCACTTTCTGTACTTTGTATTGACCTTATAGTTTAAAGTATGCTTTGTCTTATCATACTTAAACATTGGCTATGGCTATTTTCCCTTTATGATGTCACAGCATGTGGTCTGAACAATACTAATCCTTTATGATGTCACAGCATGTGGTCTGAACAATACTAATCCTTTATGATGTCACAGCATGTGGTCTGAACAATACTAATCCTTTATGATGTCACAGCATGTGGTCTGAACAATACTAATCCTTTATGATGTCACAGCATGTTGCCTGAACAATACTAATGAAGCAAAGTTGTGTTAGTATTGTTCAGACCACATGCTGTGACATCATACTGGATTAGTATTGTTCAGACCACATGCTGTGACATCATACTGGATTAGTATTGTTCAGACCACATGCTGTGACATCATAAAGGGTGACAACAAAAGGGATTTAGTAATAGTATTACTAAGAGAGAAGAGAAAGTCACATGAGAAACAAGACATGAATCATTAAATATCCAAGGGTCATATGTTCATAGCAAATGTAAACCTATACTTATGGATGAGCAGACAAATTCAAAAAAATACATAAAAATGCATTGTCTACAAGTTATACTCATTGGAGCTATGCAGAAATGAAAGAACATTTTTTCAGTTTTATTTGCAAATGCCACTAAATGTTGCAAAGCGATAACATATCAATTATAAAATATGTTTTAGTTAAAACTGTTGAAATAGAGTTAAAACAATTATTCTTACTTCCATTTGAAATTTGGTATGTAGGTATGCACTCATCACCTGAAAGATGCTCATTGGGTGTGATAGGGATCAGTTATGGCCTTATTTCATGGTATGGCTATTGTTCAGCTTAGTGGATAGTGTGTCTGACTCTGAAGTTGAGGTTCCATGGTTTGTGTCATGTTAACACACACAAAAACCTTACTCTGTACATTGGAGATAGGTGTGTTATGAGAGTGATGATCAAAAGCTATCATTCAGTGTGATCAGAGTATCTCAAGTAGTGCCTACTAACTGCCATCTCTGTAGTCTCACTTCAAAATTAGAGATAGCTAGTGCAGGTAGCTGTCATGTAACTTTGCATGAAATCCAACAAACAGCCAAACAATCACCTAAGTTCCACTGGTCTTCAGATTTTGTTTTTTTAACCAAGCTCTCTAGTTATTGCAAGCTACTAATTAGTATTTTTTTGTTTTTGCCTGTGATTCTACATAGCACAGTTTTTTAAAGATACCTTAGATTAACTAATACTGTTTACCTGGATTAGTTTTTTTCCTTTTTTTTGCTGTGTATGACATCACAGTATATAAAACTGTATTTACAATCTGTGAACTTTGACTGTTGTTTAGTGTAGTGTTTTTTGTAAAATGGTCCTACTGATTAATGACATTGCAGTGTTATTCCTCTGATAATATACTGTTGTTTGTTTTTTTAATTCATACTTTACTTCCTTGAGCTGTTCAATAGCAACCAGTTTTATCGTAAACTAAACTTATAGCAGTTGTTTCAGTTCAACATCACCTATCAACCTTGTAACCCCCCAAAATTAATTTAATAAATTTGTGTTAAAAATGATAAATTTACTCCCTCCTATAAAGTGTACATGCATATGTGTAACAAAACACTGGAATATCCTTTTTTAATTTCTTCATCCAGTTTTGTGACTTCAGAGGATATGATTTTAGTGAGAACTTATAACAAAATCATTCAAATACTGTAAATTAAACATAAATAATCTGAATTAAATATACATATTTTCCAAACATATAATACACTACATGTATAAATTTAGTGTATTAAAAATGCTCAAAAATAAATCAAATTAGTGAAATTTTATCCAGTATACTTTCCGAATTATAATAAAATCTTATCCTAATTATACTTATTATAAAAATGGAATTTATTTATACATTCATAAAAATGTTTGACATATAGTGGGCTTTTTTTGGAGGAACATCTAATGTGGAATTTATGTAAATTTATCCTTAATCTTAAATTATTTGTTTCACCAATATATAATTCACCACAATTTGCACATTCTAAAAGATATATTATGTTCTTACAATTCCAATTAAATAAGTTGTTGATAAAAAACAAAATTTCTTTGTTATTCTTCTTTATTGTTTTGGTAGATTTCATGTTACCTAAATTACATAAAGTACAGTTCTTTCTGTCACAACTGAAGATACCTTCTTTAGTAAAATTTTCTTTTTTTTTTTCACGTTTATTCAATAATCTGTACAAATTTTTAGGTTGCCTTCTTGATAAAATAATTTTATTGTTTTTGAATACATCTTTCAGTTTTTTTTATGTACTATTTGTTTTAATTGTGTATTAACAAACGAAATATCAATATGTATATTTGGACAATGAGTCACAACAAAAGGTATAACATTATCTTTAGGTTCATTAATTTCTCTGTTTAAATGTTTTTTTTATTAAAAAATGGTATTAGCAATTTCAGAACCTCTTAATATAACTTTTCCAGATAGTGACACTGAACTAAGATTTTTTTTAGTTCTAATAGTCTATTAACTCTTGTTTCTACATTGGAAACCAAATGGTATGATCTACTTGCAAGATTTACAGGAACATTTAATTTTATATGTTTGTAATGATCACTAAAAGATCTATATATATTGATGCGAGTTGTGAGTTTATAAAAAATGTTAGTTACAATTTCCTTTTCTGGTGAAACACCAATACATCCAAAAAGGACAAGACTTTATTATTTCTTTCAAAGGTAAACTTTATTTCCTTGTGTATTGTATTTAAATTCCCACCAGATTTATTAATACCTTGACTATCTTTCCATGTTACAAAACAGTCATCTAAAAATCTTTTCCAAAAAAGTTCTTATATGAACTACAAAATTCCCTTCAAAATAATTAGGTAGTATATAAAATAATTATAATTTGAAAAATCCCATAGTGATATTAGCATAAGTTGGAGCATCTTCTATGCTCATTGCTGTATCAGAAATTTGGTAAAAGATTTGTTCCTCATAAGTAAAAATAAAAATATTCCAGTGTTTTGTTATTTGTATCCACAGGTGAATGGTATTGGTTTTTTGGAATATATATATTTTTTTTTCAAAAGATACTAAAACTGTAGTTTTTGAAAAAACGAGTTCTTGTATGTAAATGATCATTAAAATTATAGTGATATTTTTGGTATATCTATTTGGATATTTATTTATTACTATAAACTTTTTTTTGTCTTCAGAGTAAAACTTATGATTCAGTCACTGATAAGTTCATGGACTTCTCATTTGAAAAGGTAAGCATTTAAATACATAATAATATATGTTATTTTAAGAAAGAGATTTTTACAGGTTTAAAATAGTACATAGATATAAAAATTCTAAATAACTTTTATCTTGCATTGTATTCTAAAAAGCTCTGAGAATTATATGGAACCATAATATTAATATTTTACAAGATCTTCAAGTTTTGCAATATGAGTATTAATTAAGTTTATATACTTTTATTTGTTGTTTGGTTTGTTATGTCAAAATCTGAGAATGAAGATCCCATCAAATCATATGTTTTTAAGCTGTCAGATATTATATTTTGTATTTGATTAGCTGTGTATATATGAAAATTGTTTAATATTTATGGGGTTATGAATCCGTTTTACTTCACCATATAGTAACCTAAATTAATTTAGGTATGTGTATAATGTTATAGCATTTCGTTGAAATCAATCGATATTATACAGTGGACCATCTGTTTATTTATTGTATATGCATGTTAAAAATGTCTTTCACCTTGGTGAAAAAGAAAAGAAGTCTTTAACATACATATACAATGAAAATTGCTTAGTTGTCTATGACTATAAAACATAAATGTATATATGTTATGTCAGTGTCATACTATATCATGCCATTGTTTACTTTGTGATAGACCAGAACATCCATACTTTTTTGCCTAATGGGCCAAATTCTAAAGTCATACATATGCTGAAGGCCAGTGTGTCATTTAAAGCACTAAACTGAAAAAATACCATCTCATTCTGTTTTTCTTTCTTTTTTAGGAGCAATTTTTGCATTGTGTGCATGTGTGTTTTCAACTATTATTATTACCAACATTGTTTTGTTCTCTCTAGTTGGGAGGCATTCTTTTAGTGTGCAATTGTTTTTTGAGCATTATTATTAACTACATTATTTACTTTCCCCTAACTCCAGACTAATAGTGCGTACATGCTCTTCTATGAGAGAGTTAATCCAAAGGAAGTCCAACAGAGTCTGCCTGGACAAACAGCAAGTGGTCAGCCTACTTTAGAAGTGACCAGTGATCAGAACCAGACCTTTGAACTTTCTCAGGAACTGGCTGAGGTAAAATTTGGGCAGATTAAACAAGAGTTGTCTGTCTTTGTTTTTAATAACTGATGTTTCTCCCCACTGTGCAGGAATTTATACATATCACAAAGAATTATTATTTTTTAAATAAGAAAATTAAGATATAACAAAGAGCATAGGAAAGGAAACTTTTACCTTTCTTGTTTTTGTATGATGGAAAGTTATACCCGAATCAAGGTGACTATTCTTTAACTTCACAGTGGATCTGGCAAGACAACATGCAGTTTCTTCAGGATCGAAGTCTGTTTGAGCATACATACTTCAAGTAAGACTTTTCAATGTGTTCTTTCTATTTACTAAGATGTTTGTTTGAAAAACTTTTACTTTTTAACTAATCTTTTTCTTTTTTAAAATAATGACAATGGTGTATTTAGTATGTAAGATTGTAATGTCATAAATACACATCTGACAGTAATATTTTATCCACTGTGGTTGAACATTAACCACCAAGTTTTTCTTTGTTTACTTTTGTTGATAGCTAGAGTTACATTATATTATTAAATAAGTAATATGGTTTTCAGTGAACTACTAAGAAAATAATAATATTAAAAGAACTTTATTATTATTATATTATTCATAAAATTTGTACTTTATATATGCTCAACATCAAAACATATTATTAGTATTATGAATGTGTTAGTAAACTAGTGCTTTAGAATTATATGGGTGATATTGTTGATTCTTGTTACCAAAAAGGTGAATCATTAAATAAACTGATCAATGTTTTACCTGATTATTACTTAACACAAATTAACTCAGAAGGTTGAGTGTGTTATCTTATAGATTTTAGAATCTAGCCACATCATTACAGTCCATGTCATAACATCCAGTCATGCTCTATCTGATAACCATTCATCTTGACAGTAACCCTGCAGTGTAGTTTCCATTGTTAGACTGTTAAAAGCATACCACTCCCTCCTGCAGCTTTCCATAATTCATCTAGTGCATGATAATGATGGTTTCCAGTGCCAATTTCAACAGTCTGATTGCACAGAGACCCATAGAAACTATATCTGACAACATAACTAATATGTCTTCATGTGGAATAGCATGAATACCTGTTTCATTCTCCATCTGCATAAAGTATGTGGTGGTTGAATGGGAGGTATAACTTATTTTGATGAGCCGATACCCTGTTGGCCTTGTTTCTGTACAAATTCAATATTTCTGAATGGTGCAAAGAGTCCAGAACTTTGGACTAATAGTAGGCAGAGTTTTCCTTGACTTTTGAATCTGCTCTTCTGTGTTCTAACTTGCCCCTGGTGCAGTATCTGGTGATGATGATGAATCCCTTAGAAAAAGTTTAACGAAAAGCCATGTACCTCTTTATAAAATTGTCTTCACTCAATGACCTATAGAAAATAGTACAAGAGTTGTTACAGTTATTAAGGTATACATATGTTTGTGTTTAGTGCCACCACTTACTGCTATTTTCCTCTAGCTACATACCTTTCCTTTTGTTTTTCACAGTTGATCTTCCTTTCTTGAATTTGTCATCAAGCGAGTTGCGTTGCTTATGCCACTGACATTTGTGTTTGTGTATTCTTACCAGTTGCTAAACTTTGTTTAACGTGGCTATGGTATAACCTGTTGCTAGTCTTTTTCTGGATGATTCTGGTTACCCTAACTTGATCCATATGCCTTTGTTTACCAATATCATTAAGTACAATGGATATTCCTGTCTTAGAAAATCTAAATCTCTGAACTGAACATGTATTATGATCTGAGTTTATCAATTTTATGTGTAGGAAATAGCTTTACAAAAACAATCAACTTTTGATGGCATCACACCACCTATGCAATGCCAAAGAATGTCAAAATGTAGTTTTGATACTTGTGGTTCTACCATGACATTATATCGGTTGTGGTTGTTATGTAATTTGCTGAATAGCATACTTAAAATCGTTTAATACAACACTAAACACTGTATATTTTCTGTCTGTTGTTTTAAAGCATTCGCTGTTAATCATAATGTCATTGTTAGCAATTTGTTCTTTATTTTATGCATAGCTTTATTTCCCATCTTGTCTAGTTTCATGTGGCAGATCTGTGGTTATATACCTCAGACTCTCTCGGGATGTAAGGATATCACTCTGCTGTCTGCTAAACTAGGAACATCTTTTGTTTTAGAAACTTTTATACATGCTAAAGAAAAGGTATTGTAACTGTTTTCATTAACTTTGTTGTATAGTATTTCATTAAATTATTAATGTCTTAAAACACTTAACTAATGGTATTCATAAAAAAAACGTTCTTATCCATAAGATTATAAAATCAAACAACATGTAAGTCACCTGTCCCAAACAAAAACAACTCAGTAGTGGATAGAACAAGTAAAGACTGGCCAAAACTGTTTCAGGGTATTAAAAACAAATACAAAAACATATAGTTTTATTTGAAGGTTTTTTTGGGGGAGGGTTTGTTTTTATCTTTTTTTCTGGTATAGTTTTTGCCTCTTTTTTTTTTTACCATCAAATACTGAGCTGTGTTATTTATTGTCATAATTTTTTGAGGTATGCGATTTTTTGACAAATGTGCTGAAGGTTTTGTAAAAACAAATCATTTGTTCTTAATTTTTGTTTTTGAGTCAGCCATCCTGAAAGTGAGACATAAGTTAATCTTAAGACATTTTGTGAGGCATTATACTATTTTCTCCACATTAATATTATGAAATAATACATTATACTTTCATATATCTTGGTTACCATCTATTTATCACAAGTAGGAATGATCTCTTAGTATTGTACAGTAATAATATTATACCTATTATTATTCCACTGCAGTAATATTATATCTTTTGGTATTGTACTGTAGTAGTGTTATACCTAATTTTATTCCTCTGTAGTAATATTATATCTCTTGGAATTCTACTGTAGTAGTGTTATACCTATTTTTATTACACTGCAGTAATATATCTTTTGGAATTGTAATGTAGTAGTGTTTTATGTATTATTATTCCACTGTAGTAATATTATATCTTTTGGTATTGTACTGTATTAGTGGTATACCTATTTTTATTACACTCTAGTAATATTATATCTCTTGGAATTCTACTGTAGTAGTATTATACCAATTATTATTACACTATAGTAATATTATGTTTCTTGGTGTTGTCCTGTAGTAGTAATGTACCTATTGTTATTACTCTGTAGTGATATTATATCTTAGTATTGTATTGTAGTAGTATTATACCTATTTGTGTGTATATATATATATATTTTCCAATTTCCAGTCAGCAAATTTCTTATTAGAGCATCTTATTAATCTAACAAAAATTGTTAATGAAAAAAAATATTTAACTCATTTTAAACAGGATATTTAGTATTGGCATTACACTATTGCAAAGTTTAAGCACCAACATTCTTTGTAAAGTTAGTTTTGAAATCATTGTATTCACAGTTTTTAAATTATGTTTAAAACAAGTCTCTTAGAACTTTATCTTAGACTTTTAAAGGTGCTTTTGAGTATAATCCACAAATTGTTTCTCAGATACATTTGAAAAGATTTTCATTTTTTGTATCTTCAAGAAATTGTAGAACATATTTTACTTACTTTGAATAGTTTTTAACATCAGAGCACTCCACTAACTGTTGTTATTGATGTTGTTTCTAGCCCACTATGGCTCAGTGGATAGAACTTCTAACGAAACAGTTTAATGCCAGTCAGAGTGCATGTGAGGTAGGTTAAACAGAATAACTTTGAACCTTGACAGCACAAGAATATAGATGCCGAAACTGCTATTATAGATTACACTTATTAATTTGTATCATCTAAGGGCATGGTAGAAAAACTAAAAAGATGCTGTTTTATTATGTTTCATGAATGTTTTGAAAAGTAGTGTCTATTTGTGAATGTTTTTATATTTAGTTAATGTGTGTCAATGTTTTTATAAGCAGTGTCTATGTGAATGTTTTATAGGTATGCTCTCTTTATGGAAGACACTACTTACAAAAACAATGTGAATGTTTTATAGGTATGCTTTCTTTGTAAGTAAGTTTTTGTAAGTAGTGTCTGTGTGAATGTTTTTTTTTACGTACTCTTTTTCTGAATGTTTGTAAAATATTTTAATGAATTGCTAAAATAAAAATTCTAATGTATAGAATCATTACATAGATACAAACTTTATTAGCTGTTAATGTAAATGATGAATGGGATTCTCATTGTTATCAGAAAACTCAGTGTCACAGTAACTTTTTAAGACTAGCATTCTTATACATAGTTTTGTTGACTTTTTTTTTAGTTTTAACTATAACAGTAAAAAGTTATTAGAATATCTAACATGCCAGGTATTTGAAACCACAAAATGATAAAAGGTAAATAACTTTTTATTAGCTGAATTTTTATGTGTTTTCAGTGGTTTTTAGACCACATGGCAGAAAATGACTGGTGGCCAGTACAGATACTTATTAAATGTCCTAACCAGGTTGTGAGGCAGGTAAGGAGTAGAGATTTTATTCATTGAGTTTAGATTAGTAACAACTAATCTTTGTTGCTCAGTCAATTTGACTGACCAAATGACCTTTTTGTACTCATTGAAAGTCTTTATAAATTTGATCCTTATAACTCTCAATATAGTTTGTATATCTTCACAAAATTTGGCAGTCTTTCAGTTAATATTACAAGTTTTTCACATACAAAAAATCGTATTTTTTAGTGAAGTATTTTAAATAAAATAAAGATTTGTCCATTAATATATTGAGTATTTGTTTTTGAATATTTCGTGTGCAAGGTAATTTCATGTTAAAATTAAAAACACTTTTTCTCATCTTAAAAATCTAATTTCTCTTGTGTAAACCCTGCAACCTCCTAAATGTATTTCAAACGTTTTTTTTTTCAGTAAAACTTTA